ATGTCAGCATCTGGGTGCATGAGGGGGCTCCCCTGGCCATGAGGAGACGTGCTCGGATCCATGCGTGTTCTATGCATTTTTGCTGGGGTCCCACAAGGCATGACCTGGCCTTCCAGGTAATGTGTTGATGTGTACTGTGGGAGTTTTAGCATCCCGTTGGAAAAGTGCCTTAGTGGGCTCTTCCTCCTGGCCAGGCCTTTGCCTGAGCTCTCCACCTCTCCAGTCCTCTCCCTGGGGCACGTGAGAATTTCTGGGTCCCCTGCATGGCCAGGGAGGCCAGGAATCCTGCCTTGGTCATGCCTCCCTGGCCAGCTTTGTCCTGCCCTGTGCACGGGCTGCGTATCAGGCAGACTTCTAGAGGTGTCATGTCCCCCCCCGCCCCCCGCCACGATCAATGAGCTCAGGGAAGGATGACTCAACCGCGAGACTCTCAGCTCCCAGGGACATTTCTAAGCACGCTTGCACCTTCACCCTGGGGTAGTGAGCTCATGACGGTCTAAATTCCTCGCTCTCTTCTTCATCCTCATTGTTCCCAAGACTGCAAGGGCAAACCTCCCATCCTTTTCCTCTGCCTGCTGAGAATGCCTCTACAGAGTCCAGGATCTACACCCCCTAGACGTGCCTCTTGCCACAACAAAGGAATTTAGAAAATCCTTTCTCCAGACAAAGGATGGCTTTCCAGTCCACTTGGTTGCCGGGAACTCAAACAAAAATCTAGTTGATGTTCAAAGCTGGGCAGTGACTTGCTCCAGCATGATCTCTCCTTGCCCCCGCACTGAGGAACCACAGTGGGTAGGACCCCCTGGGCTGTAAGACTCACAGGCTGAGGAAACAGATCTGAAACTATTTCAAAATATAATCTCATTTACATGTTCCTCGAATAATGTTCACAGTGGGCCTGCCATGCTCCGGTCACTAGGTTAGGACATAAACACTCCTTGAAATTGTTTTTAATAACTGCTTTATTAAGATATAATTGACATGCCCTACAGTTCGGGCTTAAAAGTGAACAACTCAGTATTTCTTACTGTATTCACAGAATTGTACAAACATCACCACTACCCACTTTTAGAATATTGTCATCACCCCAGAAAGAAACTCCAAACTCATTAGCAGTGAACTGCCTCCCGCCTCCAGTCTCCCCTCCGCCGGCTCCTGGAAATCACTAATCTACTTTCTGCATCTCCGGATTTGTCTCTTCTGGACATTTCGTGTAAATGGAATCCTACAATAGGTGCCTCTGGTGACTAGCTTCCCTCATTTAGTAGAATGTCGTTAAGCTTCATCCATGCTATACTATCAATACTTCATTTATTTTCGTTGCCGGTTAATGCTCCATTGTACGGATATGCCGCATTTTATCTATACCTTCGCCAGTTGATGAACATTTGGGCTGTCTCCACTTTTTGGCTGTTATGAAGAAAGCGACTATGAATGTTCATGTACAAGTTTTTATGGGGACGAATGTTTTTATTTCTCTTGGGTACATAGCCCGGAGTGGAATTGCTGGGTCACATGGTAACTCTGCTTAACAGTTTGAGGATGTGTCAAACTCTTTCCCACAGTGGCTGTACCATTACCATTTAACGTTCCCACCAGCAGTGTATGAGGGTTCCAGTTTCTCCACATCCTGCCTGACACTTCATGTCTTTTGGTTTCGGCCATCCTAGTGGGTGGGCAGTGTGAAGGATGGTGAGCATCTTTTCATGCATTCATTGGCCATTTGTGTACCTTCTTTGGAGAAATAGCTCTTCAGATCCTTTGCCCATTTTTTAGTTGGTTATTTGTCTTTTTATTGTTGAGTTGTAAGAGTTCTTTATATATTCTGGATACAGTTTACTTTTCAGCCCCTTTTGGATTTTAAGAGACATCTAAATCAAGGTCAGATGAGGGGTTGCCGTTTTAATAGTCTGCAGCGTTCACTGCAAGGTGATGGAAATTTTGCAAAGAATGCGTTCCGTTCCCCTTGGAGGGTTCAGAGGGTTCGTGCAGGGGCAGACCTTGGAGAAGAAGGACACCAGAACTGCCTGGGCGGGCCTGGGCCTGCTCTCTGTTCAATCACACCCCTTTCAAAACCCCTGTTGGAGAGGAGTCTGAGATTCAACAGGCTGGAGGCAGGTGGGGATGCTGATTGATTAGTGTACCGAAGGCAGGATCAGTTTGGGGGAATTTTCTTCCTTTTTTTTTTTTTTATTTCTTGGACAAATGAAATGCTACATAGAAAAGCATTTTGGAATTACAGAGGGATATGCAAATGTAAGGTGATATTACTGTTTCTGTTGTTATTTGTGGGAACCAGTGAAAATCTTCTCTAGGAAGAAATGGCAGAGCCTGCGTGGGGTTGAGGGTGTGCAGCGTTTTAGGGAGGGCTTGGGGGTGAAAAGGAAAGGAGAGAGGTGGGTAACAGAGTTTGCAAATGTTGGTTATGTGTGTGTGTGTGTGTGTGTGTGAGAGAGAGAGAGAGAGAGAGAGGGAGACAGACACAGAGAAGACCTTTGTGATTTCTGGCATGTTCTTTTACCACCTGTATGATTATTTATTTAATATTTTTCTTTAAATGGGCTCCTATTTCTTTTAATTAAATATATTTATAAAGGAAACTTTATATCACAGTTATAAGTGGCAAACCTGCATCATTTTCAAACTGGAATGTACCAGGTAAACAAAATAGAACAAAAACCAAAATGTTCTTTAATTCTAGCTAGAGGCCGTGCTTCATAGGTCTGGAAAACCGCTCTGGACTGGCTCACCTCTCCCTGTCACTCAGGACTCTGCTCAGAGGGTGCCTCCCCAGAGAGCCTCTCAAACACCCCCCTGTCCCCCCATCCTTGCTTTATGTCTTCCCAGTGCTCATCACTATCTAGGGGATGGTGCTTTTCCTCTGCGTGTCTGGTGCCACGCAGGCAGGGCCTGTCTCAGTCACGGTCTCCACAGCCAAGCTCGATAAATAGTTGTCGAATAAGTAGCTAAAGCTCTGAGCCCCAGGGCTGTTCTCTAGTTTGTTTTTCTCCTTTTAGCGAGTGTCAACCAGGTGTTAAAGGACACACCAGCCCCTGCCACGCTTGACGCTTGCACCTTGCTCTCTCGGGGGGACTGAGCCAGGCTTGAGAAAGAGGCAGGCTTTCAGGGGGTGATCCTCCGGCTCGCCGGCCTCCCGCCTCGTGCTGTGGACCCTCACTTGCCCGCTGGCCAGCTGAGTGACCGCACAGCACCGCGGGACCGCACCTGTGTCCACCTTCTGCAGGGTGAGGGAGCCATCCCCTGCCCACCCCACACACACACTCGGCAGAGAGAAGCTGCTCGAATCAATGAGAGTAGGAGCTCAAAGGGCTTACCAGAGGATGGGATTTAATTACTGACATTGCCTGCTAAAAAATCCTCCCCTTTTCCCCCAGGCCCAGCTTTTAAAAGTAATAATATTATTTACCCTTTACTGAACACTCACTATGTGACAGGTGTCTTGCTAAGTAAGAGTTTTCTATAGCTATTATTTAATTGTATCCTTGCAATAATTCTATAAAGTGGGGATTTATTGTTCCCATTTTACAGATGAGGGAACGAGGCATAGAACAGTTTCATGACTTGCCCAAGTTGAGGCAGCCTGCCTATGTTCTTAACCATGACATTGTAACAATTGCATAAATGCTACCACCTCCAGGAAGACTTTCTGCCCAGCAGAAATTATAAGGAAAATTTCCTTCAAAATTATAAGGAAAAAATTCCAATCTAGAATGAAGTCACAGTTAAACTAGTAATCAAGAGTGAAAGTGAAGTAACTATTTTTTTGACATGCAAATTGCTTTCCACTTACAAATACCCATAATTCTGTACTATGAGCTCTCTGCTGGCATCTGCTCAATCTCCCCTGGTGTGTGTGTGTGTGTGTGTGTGCGAGGTGAGTCTCTGTTTCTTGAGGGCTGAAACCATTCACTCATCTCCCCCAGGGTCAAGCCAAGTACTTGGCACACTATAGCTGCCCCACCTGTGTCCCCAAGTGAACGAAGGACTGAGGGCCCTTGGGTTTCTTCCGTCAGGGTATCTCCATGGAGGACAGATGAAGAAAAATGAGCAGTTGCATTTCCAGAGATATAAATTCACTCTATCAGAAAGCCCCTGGGATGTTTACCTAGGACAGCGTGAGGGTGGACGTGCAGACCATCCTGGAAGCAGGGACAGGGGACATGGTTTGGGGAGGACCCTCCTGGCCTGTAGAACTGAAGGCTCATGCTGGTCTTCTCCGTCTTTCCAGATTCACTCTCTACCCTGTTCCTTGTCCTCCCAGGAGCGCAGAGGAAGAAGAGAGAGTGATGCTGGGGTATTTAGTCCATGTGTGTTGGGCCGGGACTGGTAGCAGCTCTGGGGTTACTGGTCCAGATTCTGCTCTCCTGTGTGGCTTCCCCACACCCTGACCTTGCCATTGTGGGTTATTAGACCTTCTTCAAGTTATCCTGATTTGAGTGTGCCCTCTGTTCCTGCAGGGACCCTGGTCAATGGGGTGGAACGCCCTTTTCTGTGCTCTTTTGGTCACTTCTTGAGGTCAGAGTCTATGCTTATTCATCACTGTGTCCCCACGCCTGGCCCAGTATTTGGGATGTGGTCCTAATAGTTAACTAACATTGCCGAGCACCTATAATGTGCTAACACTGTTACGTGTATTACTCAAATAACCCTCGCAGCGATCCCACAGCTACCACCTTCATTTTATAGATGAGGAAATTAAGATCCAGAGAGGTTGAGTAACTTGCCCAAGGTCACATGTCAGCGTGTGGCAGATCTGGGATTTGAACCCGGCCAGAGTGACTCATGAGCCAACAGTATGACTCTCAACCCTGCTATTGGGTTGCCTTTCTGGCTGTTGTTTGTGTGTAGCGGGAGGACGTCTATTAGCCTTGGGAACCAAAAGAATCTGCTCCTTTGCTCACTCAGAGGCTCAAATAGAATGGGCAGAAGGTGGAATGTGGGCCACCATAGCAACTGGATCACCTGGTCACCTCACCTGCTGAGCCCTTGGGGCTGAGGTTCTACTGCAGGCGGAGAGAAGGGTGGGGTTGGCATGGGGCAGTGTTTGAGGCACCAGATGCACTGGGAGGACTTGGAAGAATACCAGGTGGGTAGATGAAGCAGGATGTTCTGGGCAGAGGTGGGGGAAGCTTCTGGAGGCAGGTGGGATGAACGGGGAAGCTCTTGCCTGAGACCAGAGAGCGGTAGCTGTTGCCTTTGACAAACCTGCATCCAGATGAGGCAGACCGGTCCTCCGAGGCCTCCTCCCGCATTTGTCTCTGGCTCCAGAGCCCAGGGTTGTAGTCTTGACTTCAAACCTCTCTCCAGCTCTGTGACAACATGCTCCTTCCCAAGGCTGTCAGAGCCTGGGGTTTGCTCCTCTGCCACCACCCGGGGCCATTTTGCCAGCTGTAGGATAAGAGCATGGGCTTCTCCTCCCCAGGTCCCTGAAACTCCCCCCTCCCCAGGGGGCCGGGGCAGGACCGGATGGAGTGGGCAGGTCACCTCTCTGTGGTTTGTTGTAGGCCCTGACCTTCCTGACCAGAAATGAGATCCTGTGGTGAGTCAAAGGGCCCCTTTCCCTCCCCTTGATCTGAGCTCTCGTCCTGGTATGGTCTCCTGCTGGTCCCTGAGTATGGTCCCCGCTCAGCACTGGGGAACCCTGGAGATGAGACCGGCAGGCAGAGACAGACCCCCGCCAGGAGAGCCCAACGCCAGGATTCCAGGGCCCAACGGGAGTTGAGCGAAACCTCAGGCGTCAAGCCACCAGGGGCTCCAAGGCAGGATTGCTTCACAGAATCACAGACGTGGATGGGGCCTCTTGGGGTCATGGGGGGAAGGAAGAAAGGACTTAGGAAGCAGGTCTGAAGCCTGGCTGGGTAAACTTGGATGTGCTCTAAGCCCTGGCTCCCTCCCTAAGCCTCTCTTCAGAGCCTGCCATGGGTCAGACACCATGAGGGCCCTGGGAGCATAACGCGAAGTAGTCCACGTGCCCGTCGTCATGCAGGTTCCCGTCCAGCAGGGAAGGCTCTGGACCGAAGACAAGCGTCATGCAGTGTGAGGGCTGCAGACTCTCAGCCCTCCTCATGGGATTGCAGGGGGCATGAACAGCACGGTGTATGAGTGCTCCGTCCAGGTCCGGAAAGGGGGATTGAAAGTCTTATGTGATTCCTTCTCTTGCCCTGCCAGCCGCTCGGCACCCCTTGCCCGGCTCAGCAGAAGACAGGCGCTCAGCTGGACAGAGTTGAGCAGACAGGCTCTTGCCTCAGGACCACCAGCCCCAGTGACAGGCAGGGGTGAGCTCCCGGCCGGCTTTTGCGAGCCTCACTTGTTAGGTTATGAATTGGAAGCTGAGGGACACTAGATATTTGAAGAGAATATTTAAAACCCTGCATTAAATCATGTCATCATAACATTTCAGAACACCAGAGATAATGACAAGAGGCAAAACGCTTCCATAGAGAAAACAAAACCAAAAACAAAAGACCTACAGAGGACCAGGAATCAGAATGGTTTGGGACTTGGAAGACAGTGGCTAAAGACCTTCAAAATTATAAGGAAAAAATTCCAATCTAGAATGAAGTCACAGTTAAACTAGTAATCAAGAGTGAAAGTGAAGTAACTATTTTTTTGACATGCAAATTGCTTTTAAAAATGACCTCTTACGCAACTTGTCTGAGGAAGATTTTGGAGGATGTGCTCTATTACCACGAGTAAGTAAACGGTGATATTTTGGTAAGCCAGGCTGGTATATCCAGGTTGCTTCCGTTTTTGTAAAACAAAAGATTCTACATGCGCGCGCACACACACACACACACACACACACACACAAGAGAGTATGTGTGGAAGGACACACACACATGCACGCTGATCATAGGTTAGCTTCTTGGAGGGGCCCGGGGTTCTGCCCACGTCGGCGTTAGCGTGGCTGCATTGTCCGCAAGGCGAAGGGCAGTGCCGAAACGCCCACCCAGTGGCAGCTGCAGCAGCACTCGGGAGAGAAAGTGGATCAGTGGGGCTAGACTAAACCCCAGTCCCTTTTGGACGATTGTCCTATGTGGCCTCCGAAGACGCGTGGTGATTTTCCTGTTAATGTGACAAAGACATACAGCCTGGCTGACGGTGCAGTTGGAGAGATCGGTCCAGCTGAGAAAAAGATCCAAGAGACTGAGAGACAAGTAACCTCTGGACGAGGATGGCTCTGCCCTCATCTAATACTTTCTCACCTTTTTTTTTTTTTTTTACTTTCCCACCTTCTTATCTGTGCTGTGCTGAGGACACAAAGGCCTTGTCACCAGATCTGCAGATGACACACAGCGGGAGGGGCAGACCACATGTGACACACTCTGGTCTCGGGGCTGCCTTGGCCGGGCTCCCCCAGGAGGGGTCTGTCCACCCTCAATTTCTAGCCGGTGGGGATTTTCTTTCACAGCTTGTCCCTTTCGGCCTCAGCTCCAAGTCAGCCCTCCCTGACTTCTGATCCAATTGTTCCCTGAGAAGCCCCTGACTTCCAGATGTCTCTTTGGGCTCAGCGCACGGCCCTTCCAGGTCTTTATCTTCAGCCGTGGCCGCAGACTCCATGTCTGGGGCCTGAGCGCAGGAGGGCACCTGTGGCTTCCTTTAGACCTCTAGGGTTGGAGCCCAGGTTGGCCCGACTCAGTCTGAGCCACTTGCCCTGCTCGGTGTCACTCAGGGGCTGCCCCGTCATGATCGTGGGCTGCGTGTGAGTCTGCCTGGGGAGCCTGAAGCTTTGCCTCTAGCCCCCACACAGGCTGACCGGCCATGAGGGCCTCTCTTTCCTCTTAGCACCCCTGAGGTCCCAACATTTCCCAGCCTCCAGGCCTTGTCCTGGCCATTAGCGCCTGGCCCTCCTGGAGCACCCATCACTGGGTCAAGGTCAGCAGGCAGCATGGTTACAAGCTGGCTTCCCGGAAGCCAAGGGGCTGGGTTGGAGGCTCAGCTCTGCTCCTTCTAGTTGTGTGACCATGGATGCATTTCTTTGCTGAGCCTGTTCCCACACTTATAAAAAGCCTGATACAAAAGTACTGGAACCTAACCTCACATAGTTGTTATTAGGACAATTAAATGATCAAATGCGTGTCAGGGGTCAGAACAGCACCGGGCACGTGGGTCAGTGCTGACCAGGGGCTAGCTGTTATTTTCATGCTTTTATTATCTCTTTTTCTGCAAATGAGGAAACTGGCTCAGAGAAATGAAGTGGTTTGTCCAAGCCACACAGCTTGAAAGGAGCAGATCATAAAAGCTACCTTTTCAGGCTAAAGATAGGGCTATTTATAAAATGACTGCAGGCTGTCCTGTAGGGCAAAGGACTACTGACCCCATGGGCCCAGGAGCTGAGCCCGGGAGAAAGAGGAGAAATGGAGGCTGCACCGGAGCTGTGTTCTCAGTCCTGCCTGCAAGAGAGAAACGTGGAAGCTCATAGAACGTAGAGGTCCTGCCCCGACCCTGGCCTTGAATGAGAGTCTCTAGGGGTGGATATGGGTGCTTTCACAGGCTCCCCACATGTTTCTAACGTGGGACCCAGTTGAATGTCACTAAATAGGGCCTCAGAGGCAAGGGTGCAGAGAAGGGTATACAATAGCCATAGGAGGCCTGAACTGGAGGGAGCAGTGGGGGTCACTGAGTCATTTTACAGAAGGGCAACTGAGGCACAAGAAGGGATGTGACAGGTCCAAGTTCCCACAGAGTGTGAGCTGCGGGGCTGGTCTCCCCTGTCTCGGGGCCTCTGAGCCCGCAGACAGCCCCTCCCCGTGTCTGGGAGGGAGCCACTGCACGGGCTCCTTGATTTCTGGCAGGCTGAATGTGTGATTTTTTCAAATGGCTTTGACTCTTGAGTCCATTAGTGATTAATTCAGAGTTCCATTTAGAGCCGGCTGATCCATATTTGGAGGAGGAGAACATTTTGTGGCAGCCGAGATACAGCCACGATTCATCTGCAGGCAGCCCACCCACTCGGCAGCTTGGGAAGGCATGAAATCCAGGCCAGGCCCTCCCCACAGCACCCCTCCCCAGAAAGTTCTCCAGGGAGGCCCGGCCGAGAGACTCGCACCTGGGGCAGGGGGGCGGATCCTTTAGGGGTGAGCAGCACAGTCTGAAGAACCGGGTGTGGGGTTCGGCCCCCACTCTCTCTCAAGCTGTATGACCTTGGGCACACCCCTTAAACTCCCTGAGCCTCAGTTTACCCTTCTTTAGAAATGATCACCCCTGCCCCTGTCCCACAGGAATGTGGGAAAAATCAACGAGAAAATTTGCTTGAGTGCACTCAGCACAGAGACTTGGCAAATGAGAGGAAGGGGTGGCCGTGGCAGTCACCCCTTTCCTCCAGCAGTGCTTCTGACACCTCCCTTCTCTGGGCTCTGGGGAAAAGAGCTTCGGCGTCCGGATTTAACACGCACCACGGTGTGACCTTAAGCAAGTTATTTTACCTCCTTGAGCCTCAGTTTCATCTGTGAAGGAGAGATAATGGCTCCTTCCTGTCATGCAGTTCTGTGAAAAATGTCCACGAGCGTTGACAGCTCGCGGCAGGCCACTGCCGGTGGGGAACCTGGGTGGGGCCAGGGGAGCAGTCTGTTCTGCCCTGGCCATGACGGTGCAGGGCCTCAGAAAAGTCTTAAAAATTAGTACAACTTACTGAAAGTCAGTCTGCTTTTTCTCTCCTCAGGCCAGCAATTCTAACGATGACAGTGATCAAATACTCCTTTTGACTGGGGCCGGCTGCTTCTGCGGCCCCCTCCTGCTGCCCCTCCCCTCATGGGCCACTGGACCCTCCAGGGGTGATGGCCTGCCTTTCCTCCTCCGTGCTCTTCAGTGCCCCCCAGACTTGCCTGGAGAACGGTTCCCCTCACCTGTTCCATACCCCGCTTTTCGGCTCCCTCCCAAACTTGTCAGAAGAGTCTCTGGTGATGGTCCAGGGCCGCTTACAAGGCTGAGGAAGCCTGTCCTTCATGAACAGCCATGCGCCATTCTGCCTCCTGTTTTCAGGCCCTTCTCTTGAGTCAGCCCAGAGCCAGTGATGGGGGTTATCTCCCCGTTGTCCTGCCCTCTCCCCCTGCACGGCCACCCAGCCACCTCGCCCTCTGTCTGTCCCTCACAAGCAAAGCCTGCAGGACGGTGTGGGCCTACAGTAGAGACATCGATCGCAGGGAGATGAGGCGGGCTGCTTAGTCCTGCGGCCTGTGGAGACAGCCTGTGGGCCTCGGGCGGCTGTGTGGTCGGCTGGTGCCTGGGCTCTAACCCTGGCTCAGCCCCACCCGCCGCGTGGCCTCTCTTCTCCGGGCCAAGGGCGGGGCTGGGCAGATGGCCTGGGTGGCACGCTGGCTTCCCCAAGGGCCTGCCGGCTTCTCCATCTGTAAGTGAGGGACTGGACTGAGTGACCACAGACGTCCCTTCCAGCTCTGACATTCTGGAACCGACATTTGTGGAATATATCCCATGCTATGGAGCACACTCATGTACCTTTCCTCACGCCCCGCTCATGTTTGCACTCCCCTTCCCCCCCCGCCCCACAATGTGGGCTGGGCACACTGGAGTCCTCCAGGATGTTTCTAGAAGGGTGGACTGATGTCTAACTGCCTTTACTATGTCACTCAGTCCCCTTCCTCCAGGTAGGCTGGCAGGAGAAGGGCACGTGGTTTGCCATCCCCAGCTCACTATGGCTCTCTTCTTAGCATCCACGACACCTTCCTGAAGCTCTGTCCCCCTGGGAAGTACTACAAGGAGGCAACACTGACCACAGACCAGGTCAGGTCCCTGCCAGCCCTGAGGGTGAGTGCAGCATGGGGGCGGGGTGGGGCGTGCCACTGGGGTCCATGGAGGGGTCAAGGACACTGGGGGAGGGGTGGGCACTCTGGCCGTGGGGGCATCCGGTGGCAGCCTCTCTGGAGGGGCTGGTGGACCCCCAGGCGTAGGGCCCAGCAGGGCATTGTTTCCCAGCACTTCTCACATGCGTCTGGCCTCACTCTATCCTTGCATGAGTCCCGCAGGCAGGACAGGCGTGATGACTGTCACCATTTCTCAGGTGAGGGACCAAAGTGCACGGAAACAATGCGACTTGCTCCAGGTCTCATCGGGGCGGGCGGCGGGCCTCGTTGAGGCTCCCACCAGCCCTGCTGGCTGATCCTCCAGGGTCTGCCTGTGATTCCCTTTTGAGCCTCAGCTTATGTCCCCCCACCAGCTTCCCAGCTTCCTGCTGACCATTTACCCCCCCCCCCCCCCCCCCCCCCCCCCCCCCCCCCCCCCCCCCGCCGCCGCCAGGACCCTGCACCAGCCAGCTCTCTTTGCTATCCTTTATGCCCCAAGCCAGATAAGTGGGAAGGTCGGGATTCCTCATTCAGGCCTTGGGGAAGCCAGGGTGCCACCCCAGTCTGTCTGCCTAGCCCCCTCCTCAGCCCTTTTCTGCTCAGGTTGTTTCAGTGGACAAGGGTTTTTCTAGAAGGACTGAGAACCTTCTCAGTTTCTTCCCTGAAAAGCCAGGAGCAGGCCTTGGAGCCCAGGGACTGTCATCCTAATCTGCCTCCTTCCATTTCTAGGTGGACTACAGGAAAGGACACGTGCATTTCTGTCCTTGTCCTCTGTAGCCTCTCCCCCTCGACTGAGCCAATCCTCCCTGACCCAGAGCCTGATAGATGAGAGAGGTGGGCCAAATGTTCCTATCTCCTCCTGGATTTCCCCACTTTCCTGGGCCAAATCTCATAACCCATAGACCCAGTATACATAAATAAACGCACACCCACACCCTGCCCTTGCTAGAGCAGAGTCCTTGTACAAACCTGCATCTCAGTCTCCCCACCTGTGCAATGGGCGGAGTGGTGCGGGTGGCTGGGAGTTGTTCCCATGTGCTCCCCAAGGCTCCCTGCACCCCACAGGCTGTGCTGACATGAGCTGTCAGTGACCCCCCCTACTCCCAACTTTTAAGGACCATCTTCAGTTTTTTGTTCCTGCTGTGAAAAGGCCCTGCCCTTCCCCCAAAGCACCTAGAAGAGCCCAGAGGTGCGCCATAAAGGGGCTCCCCAATCACTTCTAATATTTGTCATTAAAATGTATACAGTGCCCAGAGAGGAGATGTCAGGTTAACAAATCATGGTGGTGTCAGGCTTCCCGATGTTTCATTCTGATCTCAGAGGAATAATGGTTTGAATTTGTCATTGTGCAGTGAGAGGCCACCTTCACTTCCGTCTGGAACAAGATGGGCCTGCGAGCTGTGGGGCACCTCTTGGCAGAGGGCTGAGGGCTCGGGTGGGGCGGGGGGTGGGAAGAAGGTCCTAAGGGAGAGATCACACTGGTGAAGGGGCACGCATTCAACTCGGGCTAGGCAGCCTCTCCGAAGTGACGGACCTTGTTTTGGGCAGAGACAGAGAAAGAGCACAGAACTAGGTACTTGAGATGGAGGCAGGAACAAAGAAGACAAAGGAATAAGAAGGGGTGTGGAGGGGGAGGGGGACGGGGCAGCTGGGGGCTGGGGTCTCGGAGAGGAAAGGAGCACGATACTCAGAAAGGTGAGGTAATTGGAGAATGTACCTGTGCCAGACACAAAATGGGGAGCCCGTCCTCCTGTTACCCCCTACTCAGACACACACCCACCCATGCCCGCACAGGCACACCTCCACATCCCCACCCCTCACACGTGCTGGCTGGGGGGGGGGGTCTCAGACCTAGACTATCCACTCAGGGGCCAGGGCTGAGGGGCAGCCCGAATGGGAAGCTTCAGCCTCCATTCCCCAGGTGGGGGACAGCGTCACTGGGCAGTCCCAGAATATCCCAACGTGAAGCCTGGCAAGAGACTCAGAGACCACCCAGCCTCATCACTGCCAAATGCTCTCTGCGCTGGTTTTACCCATCAGAAAACTGAAGCCCGGGGAGGGAAACACCTTGCTCAGGCCCCGTGACCCCACATCTAACCAGGGCCTCCACCTCTGATCAGGGCTTGGCTTGGTGCTGAGAGTGTGCCTAGGTCTGCAAGGTGCCCTGGGCGCACAAGGGGAGCGCCTGGCAAAGACCTGCCCTGGAGGGCTGGCGTGGAGGGTGCTGGGGGACCAGATCATTGTAGGAAAACACAGAAAAGCAAAAAGCAATAAAAACTGGTAGGCAGCCCACCTCAAGGGATGATCATCACGATCAATTTGCCTTATTTCCCTCCTTAATTTTTTCTAAGCAGATATATAAGTGTTTATTAAGTGTTTATTGGGATCACATTGACTTTTTTGTATGCTGCTTTTTTTTTTCCCCCTTTGCATTTTGGTTTCTTTGTTCCTTTTCTAACTGGTTCTGAACAGCCAGAACCATCTCATGAATTTAGGACACTGAGCCACATCTAGAGAACGAGGGGACAGGGCACTGGGCCAGGAGCAGAAGGGCTGGGTTAGAACTCACTTGTTCGCCACGCAATCTTAAGCAAGTCACTTCACAAGAGGAATGATTCAGGGTGGGAGGAAGCAAATAGACCCCAGGCAAAGAAGATGGGGTGGGAGGGGTGCCATGGAGCCTGTTTTCCTGCAGGTGTGAGACCTGGTTCTAGGTGCTCCCAGGTGTAGCCCTGGGTCCGAGGACGTAGGGTTCTCGACAGTATGAGGAAGCACTTCCTAATCGGCAGAGGTGTGGGCAGGAGGGCACGAGCTCCCTGTCACTGCGGGGCATGAAGTGGGCCGAAAGCATTTAGCTGGGATGTTCTAGTACACACTTAGGTATGAACAAGAGACTGAACCCCATACTTGGTACCCTCTTCACTGCCCGAGCTTGTGGTTCTGGCCCTGGGACTCGTTCTTACTCTCTTTTGTGTTGGCGACCATGGTATGTCCCAGACTTTGGACTTTTCATAGTCCAGTAAAATTTCCAAAATAAATTTTTCTTCTTTTTTTGAGGAAGAACTAGCTAGAGATGCCAACTTTCCAATTTTGCCAAGTAAGGACATTTAAAAACGATGTGATCCACAATCACCATCATTTCATTTTTTAAAAATGTTCATTTCAGAGCAAAAATATAAGAAGGATCTAATCCCAGGCACAAGAACAGTTCTTTCCATACACATCTCTTCTTGTCATTTTTCGACTTTTGCTACCAGTCATTAAGCACTTTGTCACTGATCATCCCTGGTCCTCAGACTAGCCTTTGGGGCTTTAGATCTAGGACTAAATTTCCCTCCGTGTCTTTCCAATCTTGGTCTAAGGGAGAAGCTTGCTTCCCGAAACGAGCAAGGAGAGTGTCCCTGTTGTGTCCTCTGCAGGCCCAACGATGGGAGCTGCATGACTCACACTGCCCAGAACACATCTCTGGAAAAGGCTGTGAGAATTGGGCCCCAGGGAGCTTCGGGTACGGCTATAACTTGGCTCAGGGGTTTGAGTGGTCTGGGAAGAAAGTCTTGTTTCTTAACTTGGATTCACTGGTGGAAAAAATGGGTTGGTTAATATTGGGAAGGGTCTGCTCGTCAGCAGAGAACAAGGCAGGAGACTGGCCTGGGCAGCAGAGGGCAGTGGGAAAAACCTGAAGACGGGGACACCGTGGTCCTTTTTCACTCAGAAGTTTCTGTTTTCTCTTTGCGGCTTTCTTTGGTGTATTTAAAAGCAAATTAGCTCAATGTTTCTGTTCTTGTAAATAATGATCTTGCTTTCTGTAAACTTGGATGAGTAGTGGTACAGTGTGACCTGGGTTTCTGGTTTCCGGGCCCAAGACGATGGGTGATAGGACGTGGGGGAGATCCCAAGGTCTCAGAGCTGGTGGGATGGAGGCTCGAACACAACACGGGGCGGGCCAACATGCTGCTCTGGCCTCCCCCCAGCTCCCCCTCCGGGGCTCCTGAGGGCAGGTGGTCTGTGCACAGCCTGGCCTCCACTACATTTCCCCCCAGCATCAACTCTGTAAGCACAGAGAGGTTAGGGAAACTGCCTGAGGTATCAGGAGGCTCCTGAGGTTTTAGCTCCACATCCTTGGTTTCTACCAGTCTCCAGTTTTTTGAACCTTTCTGATACCTGCTGACAGGCTGGGCCTAGCTGCTTAGAATAGCTTGCAAAGAACCCACTCCCAAGGCTTTCAGCCAATCAAGAGTCCTCATGCTTATTCAGGCTTTTGAGAAATTACCAGAGTAGCAGGGGCAGGGATGGGAATGTATTTTTTTATTTAAGTGTTTTTTTTTTTTTTTTAGATTTTAAATCAAAATTATTTATGCATGCCAAGAGTCAAGTTGCCCTCTGGGGGTCACCCTCATTTCCCTTCTCTGGAAAGAAACCATTTGCAGCTCTTAGCTGCTTCGTGGTTCTTGCCTTCATATCTCTGGAGAGTGCTCTTGTATGGCCCCTTCTTAATATCTCAGCCTTTGACCTCCCCCTGGAGAAGAGGTTTAGCTCTTCCCTCCCCCACATGACTCCCATCCGCCACATCACTCCCAGTACAGGTATAGAAGTATTTCGGTTAGATCGGTATTCAGTGTTTGCGTTATGATGACTACATATGCTACTCGGAGCTGAGCCAGGAAATAAACTATGGTTACTTTTCTCTGCACGTTTTCTGTTGTCATCTTCACTGGATGTAATCATTGTTTTTGCTTAGTTTTCTGTGTACTTATCATTAAGTTGACACCAGACCTCTGCTGATCACCTAAAAATCTCCTCTAATTAAAGGCTTTCAGAACTGAGATGTTTTCTGTACATTCCACTTTCTTGGAGAAATTTCTCTTGGAGCCTTCAGAGCCACTCTAGTCAGGGCCGGGCGGCCCTCCAAGCCTGGTCCATGCTGTCCTAGATTCTGGTCACTTCTCCCTTGGATCTTCATTTCCT